AGTTGCAACATGAGTTTAAATTTGCTCTCGTTAATTATATTTCTGAAATGTTGATTATATATTAACAAAATAATAGCAGAAATAAATTTTATTTTTGATTTATTTATCTTCTGCTGCTTAATCTTTAGACATGATCTCTGAAAAGATAAACGCTGGCCCACACGGGCTCTTTGTGTGATTGTTGCTTTTGACCCAGTGCACTCGAACGGGGCAGTTACAGCGTTGAGAGGTTACTTTGAGCACTTGAATGCAACAATATGGAGCTGAAGTGCCACAGTGTGGAGACAGGGATGCCCTCTTTGGCAGCTTGGCTGGCTGCAGCTGCTGTGGTGGGAATTCAGAAGAATTAATTAACAGCAGTCGAACCACAAGCCTGTGACCTGCACATATATACTGAATACACCTGCAATATCAACCTGCAGGAAACGAACAGCTGATTCACAGTTCAGGCATTCACAAGTCTTTCCAAAGCACAAAATTATATCCAAATTGGCTCATGTGATAATTAATAGTGAACATTAATACCTCATAGTATTCATGTAAGTGATATCTGTACTTTAATGATTATTGGGGCTCTAGTTTGGGAGAAACAAAAAAAACCCCAAACAAACCCCCAACACAGAACAAAAATACTTGTGGTTCAGGAGACCTTTCCAGTCAATAATGTGTGTTCTTTATATTTCATTAAGCTCTTTGCTGTTATTTATTTATGGGCATTTTTTGGTTGTTGTCAACTGTAAATAATAGCCAGCGTCAGTTGTGCAGATAGATATAAAGAAAAATAGTAAATGGATCCAAATCAATAGATTTACCACTAATCTGTTCATAACATTTGAAGTAATTGTTCACTTTATTGAAACTAGAGAGCCATTTCTATTTTTACATAGATTTTTATATGCTTTACATATAGTATTCTATTAGATTTTATTTTACCTCACTTTTTAAATTCAACTGAGTTACTTTCCCTTTTATCTTTTGTTTGTCTAATTTGTTTTGAGCTTTTCTCTTTAAGCTACTTTGTTGTAGGTTATGTTTATCATTCTGGAGGAGCTGGAGTACTTGCAGATTCTGCCTTATGCTGCCTGCAGTGATGAGGTCACTAACAAAAAGCAAAACCAGAGAAAAATCAGTCAGGAAGGAGGAGGAGGAGAGAGCAACTGTCTGTAGCCCTTCAGATATCCAATGAAGGTCAAACGGAGCTGTATTTAATTGTACTCACCTGTGGCTCATTCAGGTGCGTACATTTGTGTTTCTGATTGCAGTTAAGAAACTGACTTATAGTAGCATAACATTAAAACCAGAGTCAACCCACAACTTTAGGAATTATTTTCACTTTCAGACCCAAAACTGGGAAAATATTTTATAATTTCACAAACCTTTTGGCTGTGGACCAGTGTGATTAATTTGCAGACTGATTCTTGAGGGTTTCCTCTCCAACATGTGATGAGAAAAATATGGTCAGCAGTTCTGGTTTGATTCGATGTGGAAAACTGACATCAGAGATGTAAAATAAGCTGCTAGACCAGGGGTGTCAAAAGTAGGCCCCTGTGACCAGAATTGGCCGAGCAATCGAGCCCACTGGACAGCTTTGGAAAATGTAATTGTCATTTATGCTACACCAAAGTAAACAAGTAACAGATAAACAACAGAAAGTTCCTGTTTTTTCATTATCTGCTATAGAAATGTATGTTTGTTTGTTTTTTGGATGGGTTCACAGAACAAAGCACATTTTCTGTGAATTAATGAAAACTTTATATTTTATAATTACAGGGCAGTTTTGGCCATGAAAATCCAGAACATATTCTGTAGTTTTACATCTAGATTTTTAAGACACAGCACCCCCAAATGCCACATAGGTAGACACACTAAGCAGATAGTCACAATAAACAGTTCTTGTTTATTCACGGTTCATTTCTTACACTGTTCAAGTACAAAGTTAAAATGCCTTTTTAATTAGTTCATATTCATACAAGAGTAAAATAATAATAGTGCCTTTCTTCACTACCGCAAACATAAATACAGTAAATGTAAAGACAAACTTGATTTATACTCCTAACAATAAATTTTTCTTGTTTTCAGATAAAATTTTAGCACCTTTTGAAACACCAACAGGTCCTCCTTTTCCTAAAAGCTCATCTTACATTTAGTCCATGAGATGAGTGTCTGCATGCGCCACAGCATTGTATTTGTAGGTGTTGTGCATGTATCTCTGCGTGTGAGCGTCGGTTGCTCTGTGTCATAACAGTGTGTGTTTGTCTGTGTATGTATGTGTGTGTTTGAAAGTGTATCAGTGTTTAAAACAGCGCATCACTCAGCCTAAAAGCTGTCGATAGGCGAACAGAAACATCATCACCGTATCACCCATCACTTAAAAACGTCAGCTCCTTTCCCTCACACTTTTTCCCCTCATGGAGCTCTCACACAGAGACGTGTTGGAGAAAAGGAAAATAAACTGCTGGAAACTGTAAACAGGCTGAAAATCGTCATGCCTGTGCTGAACCAGCAGCCTCCAGAGCAAATATAACAAACGCCGGTGAGCCCCAAGACTTAAACCACTGGGAGCTGCAGTGAGTGACCACGCTTTTAATGCGATGCTCTGCTGAGAAATTTGGATCCTGGCGTTCAGTCAGGTGCCACTTTGTCACAAAACGCCCACCCAGCAATGGCTTACATGTCAAGCTCACACATTTTATGGCAAGGGCACTCCCCAATGGCGGTGGTCTCCCTCAGCACACCACAAATATGGCTCGAGGAACGCAACAACAAGCCTGATGTTTGGATGTGGCCTCTAAACTTCCCAGATTGAGGGGGGACTATACAATATTAGGCAGGTACTTTAATATTATGGCTACTTTGGCGTGTATATACATCTAGATATAAATATCCCCATCTAAAAGTTGTGAAGTTATTTAACTGTTTAACAGCTTCTGAAGAAGCTCAGATTTCTGGTTCAGAGGATGACCAAAACTTTAGGAACTAAGTTATTAAATTTGATTTAAATGTTTTGGCATGGATCAGATCTGCACATGGCCTTAAATAAATCTGAAATGATAAGATTCTGTGAAGCTCATGTATTTTATTAATACGTTTCTTAAGTCTCAGGACCTCCAGACTGGGAACCGCCTTATGCCAGTGGAAATTCAGCTTTTACAGACAGCTTTAACTCAACCCGTCTCTGTTTGAGAGCATCGTGCGGCTCATAGCTTCAACGATTTAAAATAGAACAAGTCACTATACTAACTGTAATATATGCTTTCTCTAGCCTCTCTCTCTCCACTCTAGGCTGAGACTGAACTGAACTGAGCACCAACCTGGAACAGTACACACACACAATAACAGATTATTACTGTAATTATTATTACCATATTATTATTATCGTTACTCCCTAATCTAACATGGAATCGGAGATTACACTGACTGACTGACATGCAGCACCTGGGGAGGGGCAGGGCAGGGCGAGGTGGGGTTATTGGAGTGAGGGAGGGATTAGGGTAAGGGTGGGCAAGATTTGGGAGCACCAAGCGTCGTGGGGCCATGATGATGTCACAGCCAGCAGCGCTGCGGAAAGCCTGATGGCGGACAGGCGGCCGGCAAGAACACAGTGTGTATGCATGTGTGAGTGTAGCGGTGTTGGGTGTTCTGTAGCGAAAGGAAAAGCGTGAAGGTTGTTTCCAGCAAATGAGTGTGTGAGTGTGTGTGAGACCTGCAGGAAGAGCACTGTAAAAAAGAGCAGAGTTTAAAAAGCACCTGAAGGTTGGTTGTAGAAACGGATAGTAAACACGATGGAACAAAATCTTTGAACCTGCTGGCTTACTGTGGCTATGAGAGGTTGTGCATGTTTGTGTGAAGGTCTGTGTGTGTGTGTTTGTGTGTGTGAGACGGCATAGACTGCATGTGTCCAGTTGTTAGCTGGTATCTGAGGAAGGTCTGAGGATCGGAAGGCTTCCTGGAAAAGATGGTCATCCGAGGACCAAAAGCACCAGACTGAAGTGTTTTCTCTAAAGGCAGCCCTGTCTAAATAAAACATACATATGAACTTGTTTCTCATAGTGTGTGTGTGTGTGTGTGTGTGTGTAATAAATACAGCCACCACACTGGATGACATTTCCTCTTCACAGAGCAGCTGAGTTCATCCCAGCATGCATTGGGTGAAAGGCAGATGAAACACCCAAGAAGGCTCACACAGCTGAACCTGTGTTACATAAGGAAGCTTCTTTTTATTTATACAGGGCTATCTGTTTCAGTCACAGGAAGTAGAAAGCCAGCATATTGTCCACAGAGTAAAGTCGGCCTCTGCTTTCAGCCGACGCCGATGCAGAACGGTGACTGTAGGACGTTTTGGATCCCTGTGAAACACAGGGGGAGAACGAGTGCCAGGGGGATGGCAGACTAGTCACTTAACTGACAGTGGAGCTGAGGCACAGAAAGAAGCTGCATTGTAAGAGGAGGGAGCGTAAAATGCTGCTGAGAAGAGGATGCTGAATGTCTTCTACTTCTAACCACCAATGTTTTAGGTTAATGCTTCTCGGAGGCGATGGTGCTCTGCAGGCAGAAATAATCCTGCAGAATGAGTTTAACCTCATTCTGTAAAAGACAGAAGTGCCTTAAACCTCGATTTTCTTTTTTGAATGACCAGCAGGGGGCAATGCAAGAAAAGACTACTGGTTATTTAAAGTTGATGGATAAAATCCTGTCCTTTATATTCCCTATGGTTGGAGTTGGAGATTGAAAGCACTTAAACAGAGACACAGACATCCTGGGAATTTTGCTATGTTGATAGAAGTTTAACTTCCAGGGGAAAATACCTTATTTCTTTTTCTTATTTCTGTTTCTTATGTCCCAGTGACCTTTGAAATCAAAGCTAATTTAGATAGTATTTCAAAACTGTCCAAATAAATGCCTCGAGGGGCTTTCTCTTTAAAGGTACTTTTTGCAGCTGCTTGCAGCTTTTAACTAAATCCTTCACCATCAGGGGGCAGTGTTTTCCATGTGACTCTGTTGATATGGTTTGAGATTCATGCTGCCGTTTCTGTTTTTACCCTCTGATATTTGCTTTTATTCCTCAAGAAGCCTTTCATTCATTTACTCATTTCATTTGCCAGACTGCCAGCCTAAGTAAGAATACATAAACCTGATGTGCTATCTTGTGGTACAAAGTGGTATTACATGGTCCTACTTCACCAACGGCTGATTTCTCTCTAACACATTTAAGGAATTGCCAAAATCAGCTGATCTAGACCCTCTTCTGTTAAGTTGATGTGAATTTAAAGAAAAAAAAGTTTGATTAAAACTGTTCACTTCTATTTTGAGGTGAGATTTTCATATGAAACTCAGAATACTGTTAGTATACATTTGAGTTCACTGTACATATAAAAAATAAAATATGAATAGAATGAAACTACTTTGGTATCTTGGCATTATTTGGATCTTATGTTCATATGCCAGTTCAAAAACAGACAACAAAAGCATTGGAGTTACTGCAGTTAGTCCACATTTGGAGGACACTGTGCCAAGTCCTAAACAATAAATATATTTGCATTTCATAATCTCAAATCCACTCAAACACTAAATTATTTTGCACAATACTTAATGTTTGGAATTTATGATGCTGGAGAGTTGTTAGCATATCATTTTACAGAAATTTCCCATTAGCCCTAAACAATACCTTGAAGAAATAGAGGGAAGTCAAAAGATAATCAAGTTAAATTTGAGATTACTTGAATTTAACTTCAAATCTATCAACCTAACATCCAATGAACGTCCAATGACACTCTTAACCAATGAATCTTAACGAGGCAAACTTTGGTATAATATGATGACATCTACTTGTTCCTGATAATCATCAGCTGAGTGACATCAGAGTAATATTAAATTTAAAATGAGCACCAAAGTCATTTAACAGTTGTCATCCCAGCGTAAGTGAAACACGAGGAAATATTTTCATTATTAAAAGCATTCGTGAACCTAGTGTCTGAAAACCACCAGGAAGTAATCAGTACAGTACAGAGATGGTTTGCTTGTTGTGAGGATATACGGTGTATAGAGTACATTCGCAGTATGAAGTATGTTTTACCCTAACATGGTTATCTCCCACTAGAGGGCACTCTAAACACTGGGGATGCAGACAGCAGCAAGGATGTTTCTACTGTACTAATTTTAAATTTCATAACTTTTGTTTACATTCAGAGGGTTTTTTGCTTTTATATATGTCAGCATTTTGATCTTACAATAAGGCTGTTAAAGTTAACTGAAACTAAACCACAAATTAGTTCACTGAAATAAAAAGAAAACTAACCAAAACACTTACAAAACTATATAAAATATTAAACTATACAGCAACTGTCTTCGGTTTTAGTCAATTTGTCAACCAGGATGAGGACACCAGGATGTCTTCATCTCTGTGTTTGTTTTGTTGTATTGTATTATTCCATCCCGATAAAAACTACCATACATTTCATAATAAGGAGAAGTAAAACTAACACTGAAACTAAAGTGATAATAGTAAGTCCACCCTGGAGACACAAGAAACTACTGAAAAATACAAAAATCAAACATTAACAAGTAAAATAAACTCCTCAAACCACAGCTGCATCCCAATAAAATTCTGTTGTATTTTATTATTTCATATTGCTTTAGATAAAAGTGGATCTCTCTCTTTTTTTTTTTTTTGCACTGAGGTATAAATTCACCTGCAAGGATTATTTGTAGCACAAGAGCATCCTCCTCCTTTAAGAAACATTTAAAGGTTATAGTCTTATTAAGCTGTAGTCACACTAAAAAAAATTCTCTATATATTAATCTGAGCTGGTCCCAAAAGATTGATTCTGTTCATCTGGACGTAGCATTTTCAATGACTTCTTCAGTCTCACCTGACTGCAGGTTTCCCCAACCTTATAAACAGGACCTTTGCATAATGACTAAAACTAGCACCAGTGAGTAACAATGGACTGTGAGGTCAGCTTCATGATCATAAACATGCAAATTGCCATACCATTCACAGAGAGTTGGGGAATGACTGCAATCACAGCATGAAAGTGAAAAGATGAACTCTTAGGCCTCCTCCTCAATTCAGAGATGCCATCCGCTTAGCCAGAGGTTGTTTGGTTTCCCCAATGTATGAATCATGGCAATCCTTCTGGCACTTAACAGCGTGCACCATATTACTCTGTTTGTGCTGGGGGACCTGATCCTTTGGGGGGAGCAATTTTTGGCGCAGGGTGTTTTAGGGTTTGAAAGCTACCGAGACGTGGTGTTTACAGAAAATACGTCTCAGCTGTTCTATTACTCCTGAAAAAAAAAAGATCAATAAACATTTTTGCTTAGGTAGCAGTTGTTCTTCTCTCCAGGATCGCCTGGAGCTTCCTTTAGGTGTCTTCCCAGCTTTACTGAAGCCTTTTTGGTACAATGTTCTTCCACTTCCACTGTTCGTTCGAGCGAAACGTTCCTCCCATTGAAAGCGCTACGTCCAGAATCAACTTTTTGGAATTTCCTTACCTGGAGCATGCATCAAGAAATCTAAGCTGGGTTATCTTCCTTTTGGACACTCTCCTGCATCCTCATTCAATCCTTAAACCTCACAGCTACCTGTTTTGCCTGCTGTTGCCTCCACCTGCTCGTCTATTTGAACTCAAAACTGCAGCGACTGAAACAAGCAGAGACCATTCAGTCTCCAAGAGCACCAAAATCTGTAAAAGTGTTGTATTAAAGTGGCACCATTTAGATTGTATCACTGCCTGACCAGCACCACGACTGTTATGTGTGTTTGTGTGTGTTTCTGTTTTCACAACACATGAATACAGTAAAGTGTTGCGGGACTCATTGGTCTGTTTGTACGTATTCAGAGAGATCTTAAAGACAGAAAAAAGGCAGGGCATCTGTGTTAGTTTAGCGCCCCCTGGAGGTTTGAACTCCAGCTGATACGACACAGTAAAGCCAAAAGACATCAGTTTCAAGGTCGGACAGGAAGTTTGTGTATGACAGAAAACTGTACCTGTGTGTGTGTGTGTGTATGTGTATGTGTGTGTGGTAGCACGGTAGCACCAGGGGACTAAGGTCAGCCAGTGGTCTACAAGGGATCTCAGGAAGCAGTCCTTTACAGAGTGTGTATGTGAGTGTTTGTGTGTCTATGTCCGGTCATCTGTTTCATTTTGCGTCAGCCAACCTTCATGTACTGACTGTACACTGTGTATGGTTATCAGTGTCTGTTTCTGTTTATATGTGTGTGTCTGTACGTGGGAGGGAGTTGGTGTGTGTGACTAGTTGCAGGCAAAGTACTCCTTTAGAGGAGCAAAAAGGTGCCTGATGACAGGGACGCTCCACGAACGTCCCAGAAGCCTTTGTCTGGCCAGACGACTCATGTTGGACACGTCGGTGTAGTGGACGGGGAAACCAAACACCCTGAAACACACCACACAGATCATTACTTCAGACTTTAAATAGAAAAAGGTCTGTGAAGCAAAGCCAAGAAATATTTCAAATCACTTAGGATCCTAAACTTAAAAGAAAATTAATTTTTTTCATTTGAATTTGAATTTGTTATATTTGTTAATTTTTGTCTTTCAAAGATTCAAAACGTTTATTGTCACGAGGACAAAGAAAAGCATTTCTCTGTGCAATGAAATTCTTTCTCTGCTGTCCACACATAGATGCTGGTCAATATGTGCAAATAAAACTGGAACAGATAAAATGCAAATAGTATAAATAAATAAATGGAGACAAAAACTGAAGTGTTAAATAGATTGGTGTGCAAAAGAGATTTGAGCTTAATGCTGGTTTAATATGTAAGATGATCTGATGTGCAAAATTATTACTGATAAAATAGGTCAGCTGTTCAAGAGTCTTGGGAAGAAGGAGTTGTTGAGTTGGGATGTTCTGGATTTCACACTTCTAAACCTTTGTCCCGACGACAGAAGTGTGAACAGTCCGTGTTGGAGGTGTGTGGGGTCTTTGAGGATGGAGGAAGCTCTCCTCTGGACTCTGCGATGGTAGATGCTCTGCAGAGAGGGCAGCAGAGTCCTGATGATCTTCTCCGCAGTTGTTATTACTCTCTGCAGGCATTTGCGGTCCATAGCAGTAGTGCTGCCGTACCATGCAGTGATGCAGCTGGTCAGTGTGCTCTCCACAATGCAGCTGTAGAACTTGCTGAGGATCTTGGCTGACATACCAAATTTCCTCAGCCTTCTCAGGAAATACAGCCGCTGCTGAGCCTTCTTGACCATCTGTGAGGTGTTCAGTGTCCAGTGGGGTCCTCAGTGATGTAGACGCCCAGGTATCTAAAGCTGCTCACCCTCTCCACTTCAAGCCCCTGGATAAACAGCGGCTGGTGAGGCCTCCTCTTCTTTCTCGTGTCTACTATCATCTATTTTGTCTTATCAGTGTTGAGTGTGAGGAGACCTGTTGGAGGTGACACAGTCGTGGGTGTACAGGGTCTAGAGGATGGAACTGAGGACGCAACCTGACTGAAGTCCTGTTGCTGATCCTGACAGATTGGGCCCTGCCAGTCAAAAAGTCCAGTAGCTAGTCACATAGGGTGGGGTGTAGGCCGAGTGTTGCCAGCTTGTGAGTGAGTTTGTGTGGGATGACAGTATTGAAGGAGGAGCTGTAATCAACAAAAAGTACCCTGATGTATGAGTCTTTGTTTTCCAGATGGGAAAGGGAATAGTGAAGGGCAGCAGTGATGCCGTCTGACGTGGACCTACTGGGCCAGTAGGCATACTGCAGGGGATCTAGAGTGTCTGTGATGTTGCTCTGAATGTAGGCCAGCACCACTCTCTAAGCACTTTGTAATGATTGGAGTGAGTGCAACTGGTCTATAGTCATTTTGGCAGGTGGTTTGGCTTTTCTTGGGAAGAGGGATGATGGTTGTGGTCTTGACTAAGGTCAGCCAGTGGTCTAAAAGAAATCTCAGGAAGTAGTCCTTTACAGTGTGTGTATGTGAGTGTTTATGTGTCTTAAATGTTTGCTTTTCATTTGTTTTGATTATTTTTTGTTTTATTGTTTTACTTCCTGCTTTTGTTTCTTTCCCTCCATTGAAACGCGGTCAAATTCATTTACCTTGAATTTGACTGCTTCCACCTGTGTCTCATTTAGTAATCACCCCTCTTTTTATATGAACCCCACTTCTCATTTTACAATTGACATATACTGAAATTCTCAAATATTAGTCCCTCATTACCAAATAGTAAAGCAGAGACACAATTTCATTTTATGAAATGGGAAATCTTGTTAGTTAAACATGTGGCACAACTACATCATAAGAAGTTTTTAGCCCAATTAATCTCATATTGAGCTTTGTATTGTAAGACAAAGATGCTACATTAAGAGAAAGAAAACCCCACCAATCAAATGACTTCCTATAAGCAAGCACTTGGCAACAGTGGGAAGGAAAAACTCCCTTTTAACAGGAAGAAACCTACAGCAGAACTAAGCTCAGGGAGGGCTGGCCATTTGATGCGACCGTTTGAGGGTGAGGCGAGACACGTACATGATCTCAGGTCTAACATGCTTGAATTACAATCTCAACCCTACTATGTCACCATGTGACCATTTGACAGGATATAGCTTCTTTTAATAATTCAAACAAGTTCACTTTCATGCAAGAACATGCTTAAAACAATTAACCTCTTAACATCCACCTGTACAGGTATGTATATATGGATTTTTCATTTTTTAAGGTAAGCCCAAATGTAAATACAGAAGACCCATATGGTCAAAATGAAATCTAACCGTTACCCTTAGAGGTCTGCAGTCACCTGCTGGATGTTAAGAGGTAATAAAAAACCACACACACACACACACACACACACACACACACACACACACACACAAACACGCGGCTCCTGTACCTTTCCATCTCGGTGCACCACAGTATGTCCTCCTTGTTGTCCATGTAGACGGGGAAATGCTCGTCTTTCCCCTGCTTCACAGAGTTGGAGCGTGTCGTTATCGTACGCAACTTCTCAAACTGGAATTAGCATCCAGAACCAAACACGCACAGACAGACACAAACAAACAAACCAACACACGCATCCCTTTTAATCCTACAGCCTACTCTCATTTTCAACAGCAGCTTTCTGTGATTCAGACACACAAATACACACTCTCTCACACAAACACACACACATACACACAAGTGGATACCTTGGCTGTGCGGCCATGCTCCAGGCACTCCTGTAGGTCCAGCTTGTCGTTTGCCATCGGTGTCAATGGCCTGCAGTATTTAGAAAAGCACAACCTAAAGCAGAGTTGCATTTTCAATTCAGTAAGGAAAACTTGTAATCACCCTGCAGCTGGCTTTCCCACATGTCCGGCTGCTGTCTGTTCTTTAATTGCTTTCGTTTTCTTATGCTTTCAATCTCAATACTGACATCATTGCTCTAATCCAATCATCTTCTTGTACACCTTCTCCAAGTCAATCACCCTTCACACTGCACTTCTGCCTTTTTGCCTCTCAGATGCACATTAGTGCAACCCACCTCCTCCCCATGTCCGCCTCATCCTGGTGATTCAGAGCTCCATGCAAGCCTCCATCTTCACCACCACCAGTGTCTAGACTCTGGGGGGTCCTGTCCTCTAATTCGTGCTACTACTGAGATTTTGTTCTGCTACGATGGGTCATCGGAGACTAATCGCCAGACAACTGTATTGAATTCTGTATTTCAATAAATCATGTTCAGTTCTTCCAAATGATCTCTCCTTACTGAAATAAAGCCAACAAACCTGTGGTGTCTGTGTGTTTGTATCACCTGGACATGCCGGGCAGGTTTCCCCAGAAATAGCGAGCGCGGTGGGCAGCAGAAACCTCCTTGGCGTCGATCATCACTGGGTTACACTGAAGAGGAATATGAATGTTATGTCATACTGCACTACGGCCCTGAAGACTTACTTTTGTCCTAACTAATGGATGGATAAATGGATCCTAACAACCTTCTGTACTACAACTGAGAATGTCCTGTGGGGATGTAGTTGGGGGGCTTTTTTAAAATTTCCCTTGCAGAGTAACTGCTGTGGGTTTGTTTGCCGTACCTCTAGAAAGCGGGAGATGTCCCGTTTGTCGCTGACTCCCATAGCGACCACATTCTCAAACAGCCAGAAGAACGGCCTCTCGTCGCCGGGTTTTGGCCGCGCCTCATGCAGCAGACGGTAAAACTCAAAAAACAACCGGCCGGTCCCCTCTGAAGAAAGACAGGGAAAGTTCAGCCTCCTTATTTCATTTAGCACAACGAGCAACAAGTAAATGATTATACGAGTGCTTCCTACCATAAAGTCCTTTCCTTGCAGGGTTGACTATGGAAAGGTCGTTGCAGGGGCTTCCTCCTATCACCAGGTCAAATGGTCCCCATTTATCGATCTGCCGATGGAAACACAGCAAGTTAAAGTTTACTGCCTTTAACATCATGTGAGGAAAACTTTCTGGTTACGTTGTGGTTTTGAGGAGCAATAATGATTTCTCTTACATGTTTGCGAGTTACGGTGCGTACGTCTCCCACGTACATGATGCGTCCCTCGTGTCGAACCATGCCGACAGTGATGGAGTCTTCACACACTTCTGATGCAACATACTTTTCGACCTGGATGCCCAAATCTTTCAGCACCAGAAGACCTGACAGACACACAAACATCATGCTAAAAACTCTTTAAGGGTGCTTAGGTTTTAAGATGGCGCGGCCACGTCCAGACGCCTTCCTGACTGCTCCGCGCAGACTATGCACCTTTTTAGTTGTTTACTTATTTATTGCTTTGTTACCTAATGCATAACTACTGCCTTACAACTGAGGACTTTCAACTGAGGACTTTCCATATAGGCACTGTGGAGAGCATCCTCACACAGAACATTACATCCTGGTATGGGAAGAGCTTTGTTAAGGACCAAAAAGGTCTTCAGAGAGTGATCCGTACAGCAGAACGCTACTGCAGGGCTGCTCTCGCCTCCCTACAGGACATTTACAACAGGAGATGCTGGTCCAGAGCAGCTCAGATATTGAAGGACCTGTCCCATCCCAGCAACAAACTGTTCCAGCTTCTGCAATCAGGCAGAAGGCTCCGCGCCATCCGAGCAAAAACAGAGAGGCTCAAGAGAAGTGAGTGACACAGGGGTCATTGTTACCACATTCGCATATCATGCCTGATCTTTCTGGCTTCACTACGGCACAAGACACTTTAACACCCCACTCACACAATGTACGTTCTCAGATTTATTTATTTTATTTATATATATAATGTATATAACTCACTCACTTACTGCATGCACATAATGTCCTCTTTGTATATATTCACTGTTTGTATATATATAATCTCTCTCTCTCTCTTTGCACAGTCGAGGAGCGTATCAGGTCACATTTCACTGCGTCTTGTACTTGCATAAATATGCACATGAAAAATAAACAATCTTGAATCTTATTATAAATGTTTATTTTTTAAAATAGATATAAATCCTTCCAAAATACCCAAAGCTTCTAACAGAATGTGGTGAAACAACATTTATAACATACAGCATTTATAACAAATACTTAAACCCGCACAGTCAGAACGCCAGGCTGAGCCAATACCAGCTGTTCATGTTTGTCGTGTTCATTTTTAACTGCTTTGACAACTTTGGAATGGATGAAGTAAATCTTACTTTGTCTTCACATTTCTGTTTTATACTTCCACTTAACCACTTTTCTCATTTACCATTAAATTCACTTGCTTTATTTTTGTCTTATGTGTTTCTTTGTTATTTTTTATTTCATTTTCAATGGCAAGCTCTTCAATGAAAAAGAGATTTTAATCTGAGAATATCGTGAGCTGCACCAAACTGTATTTTCTGCGACTTAAACTGGGTGCTATAAGGATGTGACAGGATATCTTTATATTTCTTTTTGTTTCTTACACACACCGATTATGATGGCACTAGTCGTAAGGATAAAGGATCATATTAACCTGTTAATCAATAATTTATTGATGATGAGAATAGTGGTTAATTGCCGCTCTGCACTTACACACCTGTGGCAATGCCATCGAATAAAGAGAGGACTCTGATTGGTTGCCTCTTCTCTGCTGCAACTGGGGGATACAACTTTGCCGGCTCCTGAGAGAGAGTTAAGAGGAAGAGGAGATCAAATGAGATATCAAACTCTACAGTACGCAAAGGCAGAGAGCGTTTCTTTATCACTTTGTTCCTGATAATGATCTGCTCTTTACTAAAAAAAAAAAAAATTCAAGAAGAAGAAGAAGGAGAAGAATATCAATAATTAAAGGTGAACATGATCTGTTTTGATGTGCATTAACCTTCGTGGATAATTGAGAGCTGACGAGCCCTGGAGCGTAACCCGCACTGATCTCCAGATAATTATGTTTCCAGCTAACTGTAATGATTCACACTTCAAAGTTCTATAAAGGTTATGACAGGAGATAAGATGTAAAGTGGCAGATACATTAAATTTAGCACAATCCATTGACTTACAGCATGCAATGTGAGCTTAAATAAGATGTCTGATATTCACAGGCTGCTGTAAGACGAAATACAGTACTGAAGAGCAGGATGTTTATTAATACAATATAAAAGCAGCTTAATGAGCCGTCTGAATTTGATGTTACCACTTACACAGTGACACTTCGGTGTCATAGCCCTCCCATGCTTCATAACAGCTATTCTCAAACTGCATTTTTAAAAATGGGCTATTGGTAGGGGCTGAAAGAATGAAACTTCAGCTACAAACATTTGAAAACGAGTATTATTCTCCAGACTCACTCCAGACTCTGTAATTATGCAGCCTTAATTAGTTTTTCATTAGTATTGTGGTTATGATGGCTAGCGTTGATCCATAAATTGCTGTTGAACTGCAGGTTAATGAATCCTGACAGGAATTCTGAGGCACCCCCTTAGCCTGGAGGAGGCTTTAATGTGCTTTACCTGGTAATGATCTGAAGAAGTGGCAGAAAATGAATGGACGGATGGTAATGAGGTGAGACACCTGTAAATGTTTAAACATCTGCTAACTGGCGGGAATCACAGATGCCCTCTTCGTGTTGTTGTTTGGATATGGGAACAGATTTATTGCTCGTCTATAAATGTGGGCTCGAGCTCACAGCCTCTCTCTTCCACCGGGTCATTTGGTTCGCTGAAACTTTGGTTGCTTTATTTATTGTTTTACTTGCTCGTGGCTTATAACTGATAAACTCGCTGCATTAGTTATGTGTGGTAATTCTTTCCTACCTGTTGATCCTCGGTCGTGACGTGGCTAATTATTAAACTTGCAAATTGTAATCACAGCACATAAGAAGGTATATCTACAGTCATGTGCAGAATTCTCTGGTGAATTTGCTGATTTCTGAAGTGAAAGTAAGAAAATATGTCTGCTTTTGGTTTCTCACACTGGCATATGTAAACATCTGGGAACCCCCTTACTTCTGAAACAATCAGGACTTCATTAACGTGTTAGATGTTATGATGGAGGTCTTTAATCTTCATTAAGACTTTCACAGTTGATAAATTCTCTGGTCCTTCAGCCTTCATGGTAACGCAGAACAAAAGCAAGATATCAAAGTGCTTCCTGCCTGCTGTTTCCACCCTTCCACCCACAGATGGCAGTTAAAGGGAACTTTGACACTCGAGATCTGGAAGAAACTATAGGCATCGCATCTGAATGGCATATCATGTGATATGATATGACATCATATGAAGAGCAGCATCTGGACAGGACAGAGCTGATTTGGAGGAAAATGCAAAGCCATTTGACTGAAACCATCAAAGCAGCAGCACAAGATAAAAAGACACCTCGTCAAGTGTTTGTCAAAGAAGAAGAAATTTTTGGATTTGAAGCTGTGTAGCACCAAGTGTCAGGAATTCTCGAAACAGATGTCTGGCAGCCGGTCAGCAAAGTGAAACAGAAATAAATCTGGCTTCTACAACAGGTCTGTGATCAAAAGCAGATTTGAGAATCTGCAGCGAGCTACAAGAAGCACGAGCATCTCCTAACTGTTCCACACTTTTATTTTAAAAAAAGAGGCAATCATGCTTTTGAGGTCGTAGCTCCCAAATGTTAGAACAGCCTTCCTCGGCCTATCAGGTCAGCTAAATCACTGGTTTGTTTTAAACAATCACTAAACGCTAAGTTCTCTAGGTTAGCTTTAGCTTAATCTTTCACCCATTATTTTTGGCCTTTTGTTCTTCTGATATGTCTGTATAGGAGTGTGTATGCAGGAGTGAAAGACCCACGTGTTTGATTGTCTGTATGCATGTATGATATCTATATGGATCTCTCTTCATTCATCAAATATGGCGCCACTTTTTTCTAGAAGGACTCTCCTACATTATGAAAAAGTGTTAAAAACAGACCTGGGCAAACATTTTTGCTCTTTAACAATCCACATAAATCAATTACAAGATGTGATAATAAAATATTACTAATTTATCACCTCTGACACTCTTAACAACGAACAAGGCAATTAAAGCCCAATGAGTAAGGGATATTGTTTTGTAGGAAGAGAGCATTCAAACTTACAAATTCCTGCTCGTGGTTGTTGGCAAAGAAATGCTGTAGTCTGCAGGGCCAGTCATCCCGCCGTCGCAGTAGGCCGTAGGTGTTGCGGGGTCCACACATGTAGCAGTTCCAGGGGTCTTCTTTGATGGCTGCCGCTGCCGAGCCAGCCCCGACCAGGAGATCCACGCATTCCACACAGAAACACCTAAACGCACACACAGCAATTAATCATGTCTCATGTCTATTTACCCACTCACTAATATGTCTTTGTCAAGTAATAATTTCTCTTCGTTCCCTGTCACCTGTAGACTGGACTCAAACAAGCTAAACGTATTGAAAAACGTGAGCTTGTGACTAATTTTAGCGACTATCATCCACTATAGAAAAAAGACTTTTATTCCATAATATTATAGGAAAATATTAAACTCACTTTCTTACATGGAACATGATGATTAAAGACAATTTGGCACTTATCAAATCAAAATTCTGTCTTGTAACAAATAAAGTTCAGCCTTTGAACAGTGCAAGTCTCAGAGAAATTCCAAAAATAAAAAAGACTCGTAGGCTTCGTCTCGAACTCTACTGACAGTACAATTAGAAGAAGACTGAAAAAGTATGACCTGTTTGTAAGGGTTGCTGAGAGAAAGCCTCTTTTCTTTAAAAAGAACATGGCAGCATGGCTTAAGTTTACAAATTAAATCTGAAGAAACAACAGACAACAGACAATGGAACAAAGTCATTTGGACATTCAAGACCAAAGTGGAGATAACTGGCCATAATGCACAACACTCAACTTAGCATATCAGCATAAACACCCCAAACCTGCTGCAATTACAGCTGCCAGTCTTTTAGGGTATGTCTCTACCAGCTTTGCACATCTAGAGACTGAAATCCTTGCCCATTCTTCTTTGCAAAACAGCTCCAGCTCAGTCAGATTAGATGGACAGCGTTTGTGAACAGCAGTTTTCAGATCTTGCCACAGTTCAAAGGGGCCGGATACTTTTGCTTGCCACTGTATACTCGGTATACATAAGTATTCTAGAGTCTGATGTGATGCCATCTGTGTGACAGCTAAAGCTCGGCTAAAACTGGACAATTCAACAGGACAATGATCCCAAGCTCAGCAGCAGCTCTACAACAGAAACAGAATGGCTGAAACTTCAGTGAACGTCAATAACATTGTAAGGAACAGTGAACCAAAATTCATTTACTAGGATATGAGGATCTCATTAAGTCATACAGAAAACAAATACTTCAAGTTGTTGCTGCTTAAGGTGAACCTACAAACTACTGAAGGTGTTGAGGTGTACCTGGCTTTTTACAGGACTGCAGAGAGTTCTTTGGAAAAAACGCTTTGGACTGAAGCTCATTATATTCATGTCTGATCTCTGCTCTGTTTGCAGTGAAAGGATTAGAGCCGAGATGCCAAAATCAACTGTGTACTCTCTTTTGAAATAAACAAATCTACATGAGCTTTGTGCCAATAAAGAAAGTGATTGATCACGTTTTGACATTTAGGTGTAAACTGTTTCTGTACATGTGAAATTGAAAATCTTAGCAGGACCTGAATGTGCTGAAAGAAGCTGCTGTTTGCAAACCCCTGATACTGACCTACAGCAGTTGTTGTTGCCACACATGAGCACTTCCCTGCCTCCACAGCAGATGGTGCAGTAGGACTGGTAGCCATCATCGTCATACTGGTAGGCGCACTCCAGGAACGAGTTCTGCCGAGAAGCAAAACACAAGTTTTTTTTTTTGTTTCTCCTTCTGTCCATTGAGTTTATTTTTACATGTCTGTGAACTACAACAGATTACCAATATGTAACCGATGCTCCAATAATATTGTCACTGCTTCCAAAACAGCTAGCTGCTTGGATTTTTCCCCTGGGGAAATGCAGCTTCCACACATATTGGGTGAGATATTTGTTGCTGGAAGAAATTTATCATGGAAAAAACATTTTCTGGTTCCAGCTTCCCAAATGTGAGAATTTGAGACTCTTTGTATTATTTAGTATTGTTCTTAATATCTCTGTGGTCTGGATTGTTTTTTCATTCACTTTTGCATGTTGACAGGCAAAAATACTCAGTTAATAATAATAATAAGAGTGATTAGTTGCAGCCTTGGAGAGCTGTACACACAGAAACCTTCATGTTGAACACGCAGAATCTGAGCATAACAGCTGAGATTTTGGGTATTTTGGAGCTGTCTGGGGTCTGTTTATACTCACAGCGTGTGAGTTCTTTTGACCAATCACATGCTACCTGATTACCTGAACTCAGTAGTAGGTTCAGTTTAAAATCACCTGGAAGTGCCAAATATTCACAGTTTGTTTGTTTTATAGGTGTTATATAGAGTTAAAGCATTATGTTTTATATATGATACCTTTAAAGCTGTAGCTTAACACCACTGAATAAAGCTCTGCAGTAAAAGCTACAGCAGTGCAATTGTACGTAGCATTATTGGGAAAACTTGTGATGCTGAAAAATGTATGAATATAGTCAAACTAATTTCACAAACTAACTCTTTCATTCACCTATGGGACAGTCAGATTTGACCACACTGAGAATCCTTTCATGTTTAACCTTTCATGACCAACCTGTGTGGGTTTCCTCCTGTGCTTCGGCCTCCTCTCACAGTCCAAAGACATGCTTGTTAGGTTAATTGGTGATTCTAAATTGGCTGTACATGTGGGTGCGAACGGTTGTCTGTCTGAGTGCACGGCGCCTGTACAGTTTGGATAGACTACAGCCCCTCTGTGACCTTAGGCTGGATAAGCAATTAAGAAAATAATAAATAATAAATAATAAAAAGAGGGATTCTCACCTTGCAGCCCTGGCACATTGCTCCTACAAACAGAGGATGCTCCAGGGAGACATTGAGGCTTCCACAGGAGATGCAGATATCTGAACAAAAACAGAGAGAAAATACAGACAAACTAAATCTACAGCATTTGTTAGTTTGTTTAAGTGTCTGTTTATATGTACTTTGACATGTTGTAGACAGTAAACACATCAGCTATTTGTCTAAAATGTAGGGACAGTTAAAAGGCCTGAATCAGATAACGAGACAGACTGCTGGAATAAGGTCTCAGCACATCTGCTATGCTAAGACAATCTGGGGCTGTATAGGGTTTGTGTGATTAAAATTAATAAATAAAATGAACTCTAAATTTTACAGGAAAGAGCAGGAAAAGTAGGAGTGATATGCAGTCGTTGGCTGGTCCAACTGAAGGCAGGTTATATAGATCTAGTAAAACTGATTTATTTTACTGCTTATGCTTAACAAGCGAAAGCTTAATAATAGTCCTTTATTCTTCTTTATTAGATGAATTTGAGAGACAACTACGAACCAAATGCCGGTTTAAGAAGCTAAAGCATTTTTAAAGGATTGTGTCAATCTTTGTTAATCCTTTATTAATATTTTGTGTCATGTTATTACTCAACTTTGAATCTTCTGGATCCAAGGTTAACCAAAGCTAAGACAAAAGAAATACTAGAAAGAAAATAAAGTACTCCTTCTTTCGTTTAAATATGAATGCCGGTTAAACAACTGGAGATGCTTTTACCTTCTATATTCCTGGTCTTCTTTTTGATCTCAAATATAAGTCTCTCTGAAAAACAAAACACAAGTTAGTTCAAATACATATAAACGATAACAACAATACAAGTTTAATAGAAAGTATGATATTATCAGCCTAGTGTGGGTTTAAAAGAAACCGGAATATTAAACAACAATCTGTGTTTTCGTTTTTTTACCTCTGGTCCCTTCGTCGATCACCTCTCTGATCTTTGCTTTTTCTTGCGTGTTTTTGCGTGGTTTCTTTGCAGGTGGAGGCGTGTACGCAGCCTCAGGCTCCCCCCACATCTCTGGGTACACTTCCTTATATGGATTTTGTTCCTCTGTAGGGATAGTGGCATGAAGTTAACACATGGACACATTAAATGAACTAAAGCTAGGCAATGTTTCTACTGAGAGAGATCCAGACAGCTTTATGGAGCGTACTTTTGATAACTGATAAATGTTTTTGCTTTCAGACCCACTTTTCCTGTCAGTAATGACAATTTCTATGGTTTAGACATTAAAAAAAAAAAATCAAAAGACAATTCTGATCTATCAGTTGTTGCAGTAAATATTCTTTTTAGGATAAGGGTCTTTTCTACATACAAATAATTTGTAACTTTTCCCAAAGGAAAATCACAAAGGTTGTAAAACAAAAACAGAAGTTTAACAGTTTCACCTGATTCTTTAAGTAAGACTTCATTTACTAAAGCAAAAACACATTTGGTTACCCAAATGCCCCCCGACAAAGAAAAAAAAACAGCAGAAAAAGATATAAACATCTGTGGAATCAGATAAGACAGACACCCTGCCAAACCAATATGCCTTACGTGGATAGGAAACCCCATAAGAGCTGGAAAAAACCCTCCTTAACAGAATAATTAATACATTAATAATGAGCTCATTTGTCTTGTTTTTCTGCCAGTGGTGCAGCGACTGAAATGTAACAAGTGGAAGAGACCTGGAGAGATCCATATAACATATAAAAGATGACTTTCCCTTTTTTAGATCTTGAAAGGGAACACAGTTTACAAGGGAACATCATGTAAACTGATGATAATGATATCTTTATCATACACATAAACTAAAGAGACAGAATCAGCCAGGCAGGTAAATTAAAGCTGCAAAGATTCCAATTTAAGACACTTTTATTATAGTGAACCTCAAGTTATCAACAGCTGCATATTAGCAGAGTAGCATGTAAATAAACCATATTTTTGGTTAGATAGTTTCTCTATCAGACAGATGGAAAAAAAAATGGTTGCCTGTAGCACCCAACGAAAGAAAAAAAACACTGTGCGGCATTATGCTGAGCAATCTCAAGGTTAATCACTGCACTAGGTCTTTACTGCTATTGAACTCCAGTGTGTTGTATTACTGATCAATGCAGCGGTGCGTATCACACAACTGTGGTGCACGATGAACGCTAATTTAAATGTTTATATAGAATTAAAGTGTACTTTCTTTAGAACTTTTAACCATATTTTGATTCAGTTATCCAGTGTGTGACCCTGCACATCTGGAAAACTGCACATTTTTACTTTACACTGTGGCTGAACACAAACTCAGCTTTGGACTATAGTCAGAGGCATACATGGGTCCAGACACTTTTTTCACTAATTGTTTTCTTATCCAAGGCTAAATCCGTGTGTGGAAGCTCCAGCAGTGTACAGTTGCTTATCACAGCCAACATCTTCTACAGCTGTCTTTGATATCCTTGTAGCTAAATGCTTTACATGTGCAGTGCTGTGAATGTCATGGTCAAGACTGCAAAATAAAAAATGTTATACCAAAGATGTGAAACATGAGTAAAAATGGCCCTGAAATCTGTCATTTCTCCACTTTTTTCAATAAAATATCTTGTTATTTCCTTTATTTTGATGCCAGCTTTACAGCCTTACAAAATGGGCACAGAGCTAAAATAATACTATTAATATTACAATACTATTATTATTATTTTGCTCACAATAACTCTACATCGCAAGGTTTTGTGCTTTTCTCCACCCTCACGATTAAACTGTAATGTTCACTGAATGGCAGCAGACCCCGAATGTGAATGTTTTCAGAGTACACTCATTTACATTTATTAAAGAAAGAAGATCAAATTAAGCTCAAACTGAGTTAACTGAATTAAAATGAGTTTAATGTCTCTGGTATAGATACTGGGATCTACAAACATGGCCTGGTTCAACTGGCCACCCATACTGTAACACTGCCTCTACCATGTTTGACAGGTGATATGTTATGCTTCGGCTCATGAGCCGTTTCTGTCCTTCTCCATACTTTTCTCTTCCCAGTCATTCTGGTGCAATTTAACCTTGGTTTCATTTGTCGAGATACTTGTATTTTAATATTTCTACAAAGTCTAATCTATTCTTCTTGTTCCTGGGTGTAACCAGTGGTCTGTGTTTTGTTGTAAATCCCATGTATCTCCATTCATCAAGGTGTCTCTTTACTGTAGACTGACAATGATACGCCTACCTCTTTCAGAGTGTTCTTATTCAGTTAGATGTTTAGTTGTCTTCTGGGGATTTTCAGGCAAGAGTAATTTCTAAATTGCATTTATGTGCTGTGTACTGTGCATTTACAGTACACATCACATAGTGTGGCTCCTACAGTTGTAAACAGGTAATTTGCTGTGCCCAGTTAACAATGATGGAGGTGGTGTTTGTGTGAGAGAAGATGACATACCCTCTGGAGGGTCCAATGATTGTGGACCAGCGGGCAGGAAACCGGTCATGGCCCACTCTATCATCTCTCTGGTCTGAAGATCCACCCCCTCTGCATCATCACTGCCATCACAGGAAGGAACTGGCCTCCCCGCTCGGACGCTGGCCACCTAAACATAACATACACAAGCAGTCTAACTTATGTATATACCAAAGTTTCCGTATCATTAATTGGAAATAGAAGTGATGGCAGTGATGGAAAACAGTTTTTCATGTGGCTCCTATGGCGAGTTAAAACACTAATGTGGTTGTAGCATACGAAACGCAGTGGGTGCCACTGAAGCTTCTCTCTCTCTCACTTTTTCACCAAAAACAAACCCCACACAAAATTATAGATTGCACTGCTGTTACCCACATGTTACCACTTTTAAATTGTGGGCAGATCAAGATGAGAACACCACCTCCACAAATGCAAAATAGCCAACCAGGCTGAGCGCACCAGAGAGGAATGACTCTTAGACCAGCACATTCATATTTTTGGCTTTTTTGGTGTTTGATTTCATCCTGAGAGATTTATGGTTTCCAAGTCTATTAACATCAACATCAACCATCTACACACTCAGAGCAGAGGTTAAATAGTGGGTTTGTTACCCGCAGAGCCTCGAAGATGGCTTTCCGGTACATGGACTGTTTGTTGTAGGTTGGCTGGTGGAAGGCAGATGAGAAAGCGCTCAGGGGCATCAACTTCTCCACACAGACCTACACAGTGAAGGAGGAGAGCCACGAATCATCATCAGAAAAGAAGATACCTTGAAATATTTAAAGGATGGTCTCTATTCTTTTAGAGAAGATTTTAGACTTTTAGACTTAGCTTACTAAATTCTCAATGTTCAAAATTCACAAAAAATAAATTATTACACTTTCCCAAATGTCAAATTTCATCAAATAATTGTGAAAAAAGTCATAAAAATTTCAGCCAAGAAACTGTAGCTTCAACGCAGTCTACCACAGAAGATAGCTGAGTATCATATTTCAAAAGTTTTAATTGACTGACAATATCTCCATATGTTATCATCTGTAATTTTATTTGTTTACATTTGCTGCACATCTCTTTCTCCCCCCTTCAGAGGCCGATAAGGTGAACCAGGACTTGAGGCTCATTGCAGTAACTTCAGGTTTAACTCTGGATTCTTCAGGAATTACTTTATTTCTGCTGTTTGCCTGGGCTTGTCTGGGCTTCTCTGCTTGGGCGGCTGCTTGGGCCCAGACCTCCCTCTCCCCAGCCACCTCCTCCAGCTTGTCTGGGGGAACACCAAGGCATTCCTAGGCCAGCCAAGAGATATAATCTCTCCAGTGTGTTCTGGGTCTGCCCCAGCCAGGAGGCGCCCAGGAGGCATCCTTGTCAGATGCCCGAACCACCTCAACTGGCTCCTTTCGATGTGAAGGAGCAGCGGCTCTACTCCGAACCCTTCCCGAATGGCCAAACTTCACACCCTATCTCTAAGGTAGAGGCCAGCCCATTTCTACTGCTTGTATCCGCGATCTTGTTCTTTGGGTCACTACCCACAGCTTGTGGCCATAGGTGAGGGTAGGGACGTCAACTGGTAAATTGAGAGCTTCGCTTTTACACTCAGCTCTCTCTTCACCACGGCGGACTGATGCAGCGGCCGCATCACTACGGCCGCAACACCCATCCGTCTGTCGATCTCCCACTCCCAACTTCTCCCGTCACTCGCGAGCAAGACCCCGAGATACTTAAACTCCTCCACTTGGGGCAGGAACTCGTCCCTGATCCGGAGTGGGTACTTCACCCTTTTCCGGCTAAGGACCATGGCCTCAGATTTCGAGGTGCTGATTCTCATTCCCGCTGCTTCACACTCAGCTGCGTTCCAAGGCGAGCTGGAGGCCATCACCCGATGAAGCCAACAGAACCACATCATCTGTGAAAAGCAGAGATGAGATCCTGAGACCTCCAAAGTGAAAGCCTTCCGCCACTTGGCTGCGCCTAGAAATCCTGTCCATAAAAATTATGAACAGAATCGGTGACAAAGGGCAGCCCTGGCGGAGCCCATCACC